TTATAGCAGCTCTGCACTTGAGTCTGGTATTAGTCACTTGCATGTCTGAATAGGCATCCCATTCAGGAGTACCGATGCCACATCGTGACCGCTGCCTGTCCAGCTGGGCTCTGGATTACCGCAGCTCAGTACTGGACTAAGCACTTGATGAAAATGAAAGGAAGGAACTGCCTACTTCACATCTGTGAAAAGTTACACATTTCCAACTATGCAAACACTTGCTTCCACTGCTGATTTAAATGAAATCTTGAAGAATCTGTGGCTGTTGAGTGCTGGAGATTGAGAACAGTAAAGACAGAACTATCTCAGAAAAAGGGACATTTTTCTTCTTATTTGCAATCACAATGGCACTGCCAGTGCTCTGAAGTTAGGAAGTGACAGTGTGATTTCCAGATCCTGCAGCCTATCAGTGCAACCCTGCACCAGGGAGTACAGCAGGATTGACACACCCCAGTGCGACCAGTGCTTACAACAAATGTATCGCCAAGCTCGAACTTTTAACATAAACAAAAACACTCAATTTAAAGCACCCGGGCGAATGTGCTTTTATCTGAAAATATCTCCCGAATGCTTTACATTATAAACCGCTTTCTTACATTTCTAGAAATGAGAATAAACCCTTTTTTCTCTGTAAACTGGTTTTGTCCCTGAAATATAATGTCCAAGACTGCCGCATAGAGTTTGCATCGAATTTTAGATGCAAATATATCATGACATAATCCAGGACAGCAACTCTCATCTACTCCATTGCACAGTTTTGCTGCAGTTGGCCTCTCAGTTGCTTAATTAATAATCCGCAGGATCAATACTGCAATTAAGGAGGTGGTTGTATCAAAGCACTGAAGTGGATTGGAAGGGTTCTGCCTCTTTGCTTAAAGATCAGTGTTACAGTATGTATAGCATGAATTCAATATAAAGCAAATGTGTCCTTTTGGAATAAGGCTCTGTGCACATTGCTGTTTGTGACCCATCAAGTGAAATAAAGGCTCCAAAGTCCACATTTTTTTCCATACATATCCAGTACAGCAATCTGTCTGTGAGCAGAAGCAATCTTCCATCAGGATAATAAAGTGAAAATGGTGAATTACCCAAAGATCATTTGTACTGTTGCTATTGCAATTCTTCCACAAAAAATATTTTGGAGAAAGAGGTTATTCATTTTATTTTTTTAGGTCTGGCAGCTCTACATTTTCATTTCAGAGCTCAGTTCTGCTCCCTGAAGGACACAAATACAGTATATGTTTCTTTCGATCTCCATCAGGTTGAAGGATAGAAAATGGCTTCATTTCTAACTATGTCCAATTACAAATGAGGGGTTGAGTTGGATTGTGTAATTAAGATCACAGGTAAAACAAGGCTTTCTTATTAAAACAAATTGTGATAGACCTTCATGTACAGTGAGTTGAATTTCCACTTTGAAACCAAAATCAAATTTCTTATTCCGAAATGAAGATTCTTTCACACTCTGATCTCTACATAATTCCACATTCAAGCTTACTCATCATCATCCAGATACCCTTCATTTTGAAGAGAGATTATAGGAATGTAAATTCCTTCTGTACGTAAATGGACACAAGCTACTGTAGTTAATTTATAGTCTGATCCAACACTCTGCATTGCTAATGACTACAACTTTGCTTTCATACCAATTCATTTTCTTTGGATTTTTAATTTAATTTCTGACTCATTCACCTGATTCCCCTCTTTCATAAATTCAATTTTCTTTTCTCATCAGCGGGTCATCAAAATAGATGTCCCCTATTTCCTAGAGCTGATACGAACATCACTTTAACAAAAGCCGCCTACATATTCAGCTTCACTATTTCCAGCAAGGTTCAAAATGAAGGACCCCTTCGCCCCCCGCCTCACACACTTCGTTGTTTTAAAGTGGAATCGCCAGTTTCATTTTTTATATATTTGTAAATATGCCAGGCTCACTGCAAGCGGGGAATGAGAAACTTGCCCATATAAAGCGGAAGCAGGCACTGTCAGAGTGCCCACAGCTCAGCTGGTATCAACCGGAGAGCCTGTGCAGCTCTCACTGCTCTTGTTTTTATTCGTGTGGGTCTTATCGGAAAATTTTACCCCTATCTTTCCCATTATAGCTGTTGTTTTCATTTTATTTTCTCGACTACCATTGGTTGCCCCGCTGTATTATTTTCCTGTACCCATACTATCATTAAAATATTAATTATAATGCTAATATTATTATATTTACTCCAAGAGCTTTGCATTTGTCCCTTCTATATGTTCTTTATTAGTTACATCACTAAATGATTCCTGCTGCATGCATGCAGTCATGCTCACCGAGCTGATTTGGTTGAATGGTAGAACAAGCCGTCAAGTCTGTGCTCTGAAGTTTTGTCCTGTGCATTCTGATCAATTGTGTCACTTCCTGTGATGAACGTCATGAATGCATGGTGGTACATCTCATGGTTCTGCCAGTCATACTTCAAGTGTGGACCAGGTGGACTTCAATCACGTGATTTGGGGTTTATAGACCTACCTGTACAGCAGTGGACAAAGGACAGAGCAGAAGACAAGGCCACAACCCCGTACAGACAGCATCAACCAAGCATGTTGGGGGAGACTCCCTGATCACCTCTTATGCTTGGTTAAAAGGATATGTTTCTCTTCTGTAGCCAGTAGCAAGTGCTGTTGTTATCGGAACACTTTCTGTCTAGTATTAATTTTTCCTGTAGGCTGTAGGTATTAAAGGAGGTGGCGCAGTGTGGTTAGGCTTTTACCTGACCGGTATTGGGTTCAAGTTCCCACTGAGGATGCTGCTGTAGTACTTTACCCCAGTTGCTCCAATTTACCCAGCCGTAGAAGTGGGGACCAATGCTGTTGAGGGCTTATTCCCGAGATGTATTGGTGTTCCGTCCAGGGAGGGAGTCTCGTACTTGCAAGTCTACCTAATGAAGACTAATCAAATAATGCTTAATTGATGGTAGTAAATCTGGGAAGCGCTCTGGCTTTGGTATGGACTGTACCTTTTTATTACTGTAGTAATTCAAAGTTTGCTTCATTTAATGCTTTTTCAACCAACAGTTATACCACCCTGCAACTCCACGCTGGCAGCCCACTGAAGCTCAGCAGGTGTGAGCCTGGTCAGTACCTGGATGGGAGACCTCCTGGGAAAGCTAAGGCTGCTGCTGGAAGAGGTGTTAGTGGGAAGAGGGAGTGCTCACCTTGTGTTGGTCCTACTGTCCCAGTATAGTGACGGGGACACTACACTGTAAAAAAAGTGGAACCCTGAAACCTTACATAGATGTTTCTAAATATGAATTTGTGTGGATGGCATTTGTGAATTTGATAAATCCCTGTTTTTCAAGACATCTTTATTTCATCAACAAATTTGTAAACAAAAAATACAGTAAAAGATGCCACCCAACCATGACAATATTTATTTACTTTTATAATAATAGTTATAATTATGAGAATTCTTTTTATATAAAAAATAAAAATTTTGGAACAGTTTTTGGAAAATTGTTCTATTGCTTTATTGGTATTTTTCTTAACTTAAGATTTTTATTACAATGCAGATTCCTTATTTTGGTTAATTTATGCAAGGTTGCAAATACGTTTTACTGTAGGTGATAATCACATCACCTGCTTTTGTGAGCTATGTTATCAACCATAGCTATATATAAAAAAAGCTTATGGAGACTAAAACAGCTTCTAGAAAAAAATAACCCACATTACTCCACAAAAATGCAGTTGCTAAGGTTTTTTTAAGACGCTTCATTTTTGTGAAACAATCCTGCTTTGTCAGTGTAATTGAATTTACTCTGTTGTGAGCAAAATGGGTGACTCAATGTAAAACCTTGAATTCCTATGTGTCTGTTGACTTTGCGTTAAATGTGAAGTGCAACATCCTTCTGTTGTTTTGTATATAATGCATTTATTTTTGTATAAGAAATTGTTTAATTTCCTATAGATGGCCTAGAAATGTCATTGTATTTTACAGCCTGTTCAATAATTTTGTTGTTACCCCTGCTGTTGAATTTATTGGTGTATAGGCAGCTAATCTTGATGTTAGGTATGTAGAGAGACTATAAAGAAACGATAAAGTAAGAGCCTGTTCTCCATGTCGATTCAAAGACTTTACAGTTGAAAGACCATCTGGAAAAGGAAGGTGATGTAGAGATACTGTACTGGATTCACCTCTGGTAACAGTGATAGTTTTACAGGTTAATGTTTGTTTCGTATAACTCTTGTATATTGGTAGAAATATACTTTATCAAGTATA